TGCTTCTACAGGTAAACAATAAAACCATCAATGTCAAGAAAATAGAAATCAAATTATGGAGCCATTTAAAGGCATAGAAATACATAATTGCTGTTACTAAAAATACAAACATTTGCTTTATCAAATATATTGACCTAGATGCTACTATTTAACTCAAATCCTAGATAACCATACCTCTGTACATTTCTAAATATATGCAATTTCAGGTCTTAAAATGATGAATTTTTTCTCAGAAGTCTTCAATTTGTGTGTCTGCATATATATGTACATATACATATTTTTCTGAAAAGTCTCTTCCATCAGAGTTCAGCCTAGGTTTTAATCCTCTATATTTACACTTAATCAATTTATGTGAACCTAGTCAAGTCCTTTGAGCCCTTCAGTTTCTTCATGTACTGCACTTACAACACCTATGCGACAATACCAACTCAAAACTAAAAATCCTGTGATTCTAGTTTAAATCTTCCCATTCTATGCCACAGAGCTGTGGTTGTGAGCATCAGTTGAGACAATGGACTTGAAAGCACTTGGTAAAGAGGAAATTATTTCATTGTTTGTTGACATATGAATTGAGTAGGCTACTTGACAATTTGGTAAGCTTCCTTTAACAAATAAAAATAATTTTTTTTACATTTTTCTTTCCTGGGACCATTATCATAAAAGGAAACAGCGGAATAAGACCTTTGATTTATTAATATTCATACGATGGAAATTAATGATCAAGCAACTATAGTTCAATTATATTTCATCGATATAACAGAAAATAACTGTATTTCAACTAGCTAAAATATCCAATGCGACATAAAGAAATCCTGAGTTCTGTTTGCTTACATAAACTTGGTTTTCCACTTACATTCGTAATAGTACAACATTACCATTACAGGCATTTCAGGGATCCATGATGACCTCCAGACTATTTCTTTTCTATTAGTCAGAAAGAGGCTGAGCTATTCTAACACAATTTAATCACGTTTCTTCCACAGCTCTAGGGATGATTTTCATGTCAACAGGTCTAGAGCCTGTTCACCAGATACAGAGGTGGAAATAAAATACTGACTCTTGAATGGCAAGACACTGGCTGTGCAAAGATCATGGTAAGAGAGAATGAGCTTTCATTCTTTGCTTAACCAGTTCTATTGCCCTCCCTTATCCTCCCCTCTGTCTACTTGGTGCATCACTGCCACTCAGTACAACTCATGGGTTTCAAAGAGGATTATTTTGTTGTTGACAAGGGAATAGGAAGCATGTACTCTCTTGCAGAAACACAGCACTCGGAATGTAGTACTACTCCTTACTGATACTACACTATATTTTTTTAATAATTTGCTCTGAAGACAACATGGTTATTTCTACATGATGCCCATTCAACTCTGTGTTTACAAAGATCACAAAGTTATACAGTCATTAAAGATAGCATGACAATAGACTATGTGCTAAGCATAGGGTATACCATGGTCAACAAAAAGGAAATAGTTCCCACCGTAAATGAACTTATGATCTTATGCACGAAGGCAGAAAATAAATAAGTACATAAATACTTAAGTACCACTCGAGAAGGGGAAACACTTTTCAAGTGATGACTATCTTGTTTCAATAGAAAAGATGGCATGGCTAGAAAGAGTTTAACTGAGAAGGTAATATTTAAGAGGCTCTAACCATGAGATATTTCAGAGCATTCTTCTAGGCCGATGTAAGAGCATTTGAAAATGTTCTAAGGAATGTTCTAGAAATTGATAAAAGGCCAGACTTGACGAACAACAGTGTTCATGGGAAAGAGTAGTTGTTTTGTTTTTTTGGTGAGGAATTGGCTCTGAGCTAACATCTGTGCCAATCTTCCTCCACTTTGTATGTGGGACACCACCACAGCATGGCTTGACAAGCAGTGCATAGGTCCACACTACCCAGGATCTGAGCCCGGGATCTGAACCTGTGAACCCGGGGCCACCGAAGCAGAATGTGTGAACTTAACCACTATGTAACTGGGCTGGCCCCCAAGAGTAGTTTTATACATGGTTGGGACAATAGATGATATCAGATAATGTAGATTCTCATAAGCTGTGGTGCAGAGCTTTCTTTTATTTTTTCCTCTAAATGCAGCAAGAGATGAGAGCAAGTGGTGGGTTTTAAGCAGTGGACCATCATGATCTAATTTATGATTAAAAGTCTGGCTGCTGTTTAGAGTATGGATTAAATGAGACAAATAATGAAATTTGAAGCAGTAGTCAGTCTAGGTGAGAAACATATCATGTTGGACTGGATTAGGTTGAAATAGTTAAGATGTAGAAAAGTGTAGTTATTCAAGATATACTTTGGCATTATAAGTAACAGTTCTTGCTGATGGTTTGGATTGTGGGAATTCCAGAGAAGGAAATATCAAGGATGATTCCAGGATTCTGGCTTAAGCAATGGGTCTGTAGTGGTGCCATTTCCTAAAATATCTCCAAGAGCCATTAAAGAGAAAAGGGATTTGTTCTTTGAGCTTTATTAATTACTTTTTTTCCCTGTAAAATCTCATGGAAATGGCCTACAAACACACACAAAAATGCTCATCATCGTTAGTCATTAGAGAAATGCAAATCAAAACAAGGTGGCACTTCACACTCACCAGGATGGCTATTAAAAAAAATAAGGAAGAAAGAAGACAAAGAAAAAGAACAAGCGTTGGCAAGGATGTGGAGAAATTAGAAGCCTTATGCTTTGCTGGTGGGAAAGTAAAATGGTTCAGCCGCTGTGGAAAACTGTTTGGCAGTTCCTCAAAGAGTTAAACAGAATTACCAAACAACCTGGTAATTCTACTCCTGTATATATATTCGAGGAATTGAAAACAGATACTCAAACAAATACAGGTACACACATGTTCATAGCAGCACTCTTCACAGTAGCCAAAAGGTGAAAATAGTCCAAATGTCCATCAGTGGGTGAATGGATAATTTGCAACATATACATGCATTAGAGTGTTATTCAGCCACAAAAGACTGAACTCCTGCCACGTTACAATGTGGATAAATCTCAAAAACATTATGATAAGTGAAAGAAGTCAAACACAAAAGGTCACATATGATATAATTTCATTAATATCCAGAATATCCAGAATGGGTAAATTCATAGAGATAGAATGCAGATTGGTAGTTATGAGGGGCAGGAAGTCAGGGGCAATGGGGAGCAGGAGCTTTATGGGTTTCCTTCTAAGCCGTTGAAATGTTTTGGAACTAGATATAAGCAGTGGTTGCACAACATTTGAATGTACTAAATGCCAAGAAATTATTCACTTTAAAATAGTTCATATTTTGTCATGTGAATTTCACCCCCAAAAAAACTAACTCATAGAAATGTGATTTTTATACTTTGAGATAAAGCTAACTTCCAAAGGAATACACATAAAAAGAGATACTCTTAGATAATAAGAACAAGATTTCTTCATAAGATGAGTAGTCAAAATGCATTAAATGACCTACAAGACATCAGTACATCATCTACCCAACCATTTATTCACTGAACAAACATTTATTAAGATTTTACCAGATGTCGGCCCCCACTAACTCTGAATACACATTGATGTATTATCTGTCTTTAAGAAATAGATTGCATAGTAGGTGAAAACAAACATGTTAATGTAAGAATACCTATTTTCCAACCTGTCAACGGGGTTACTGACAGCTACCCTGCTAACATATGCAGATCGAATGAGAAAACATGTAAACATAGTCAGCATAGAATCCACCAGCTAATGTCCTGGTATATGCTCCATAAAGGCTGTTTCCCATGGCCTTTCCCTCTTGTTAATTCCCCACTCATATCAAACAATGGGAAAAACCTAGTTTTAAATTTATAAATGCATGGCATAGTATCAGTGGTAGTCATTTCTCTGATATCTGACCTTTTTCTCCATTCTTTCTCTGGTTCAAGTTATTTTCACCCTTCTAAAATACGAAAGATATCTTAAAGGCTATTCATTCAGGTCTATTTTACAAATTAAAGAAAGGAAAGCTTGCAGTACATGTAAATAGCAATTCTTTACATAGCTAGTAAATCCCGATTTCAGCAAGACCCCTGGCCAGCTGCTCAAGGTCCAGGAGCTGGTCATGGTATCCTAGTGTCTACACAAGTTTCTAGGAGTAAAACAGGGTAAAGTCTGATTGCCAAAGGGTCAAACCTAATAAATCATAAGTCTGGAATTCTAATTATCATTATGTGCTATTAGTTATCTAATTCCTTCATAAAGTATTTTTAAAAGCCTCTTGAAGTTTCCAAGGAAATTTTTCTTAATAAAAGGAAATTACAACTCTATATTCAATGTGCAAAACTTATGGTTTGAAATCTCATATTGTGTTGTCCAAAAAATATATTATATTTTTTAAGTTATAAAACATTTTTAAAAAAAACTCCAAAATCTCATTTTATAAAAATTTAGAAATGCAGAAATGTATAGAGAAAGGCAAAATTAAATAGTATATAACTAAGAAGTGGCTGTTAATTCCATTTTGGTATATTTGCTTCCTGTTTTTTCATATTGAAGTTAACCTTTCGAGTTGCAGCCCCAGGGTGAAATGGATAGTTTGATACAGTCTGTATTCCAAGTCTCATTTGGAACTTTTAACAAAAACCAAAAGAGATTGTAACCAATCTTTAGCACATCTGGCCTCTAGGCACCCAGACTTTAATTCTATACTTGCAATGGCAATTTTACTAAAAATAGATGACTGAGCCCTCCCTTGACTTCTCCTTCCCTTCCAGATGCACCAGCCCTCTTGCTGGCATCCCAGGGCTATTAATTAAAATGAACAAATATAGTTGAACACACATCTCTAAATGATCTCCATGGTCTTTTGCTCCAGGGATGACAGATTCAGATATTGGAAGCACTTTCTACTAATGAAGATAGGAGTAGAATGAGAAAGGTATTCCAGTATTCAACATTCAACAGGCAATTCTAGAATGTCAACTAGGAATGCTGGGCCTATACTGGGTTGTGGGACTGGGAAGATTAGAATCCTGCCCGATACATTACTCAGCTAGGTTGAGGAGAAAAATACAAACCATTGACAGCTACATTGATAGCTACAATGATAGTCTAGATGTGGTATGGGACTCCAGATGGAAGTACTGAAGATTAAACAGATGTTGGAAGGTGAAGAGATGGGAGGGGAGAATGATGTGAGTATCCCAAACAGAAACAGAACCTGGACAGCCAGGGGGCCTAGACAGAGTGTGCACAGCCACGGTCTAGGAAATCTGAGGAGTCCATGAGTTACGGAGCATAGGGTACAGGTTAAAAGTAACAGAACTTGAGACGAGTCTGAGGGGATACAAGAGAGACCATTTAAGGCCTTGAGAGTGAGCTAAGTAGTTTGAACTTGAACCCAAGAGCTTCATCTTTTTACAAGTCATGCGGTAAGTACTAGGGTTTGTGGAGGAGCATGAGAGAGGAAAGGGGAATGGAAGGAGTCACAAATTGCGGGTGGCCCAATAAGGGCCATCCTCTGCCCTTTCTCCCCTTCCCCCGGTTTGGGCTCAACTCAGCTGTTTACATTTGATAAACATTTCCTGAGCACCAATTTTGTGAGGAGGATGGTACTTTAGAGGAACAAGAAGTAAAAAACCCACATCTTCCATGCCTTCCTTGGGGCTTAGAATTTATTAATGGAGATAGAAAGTCTATAAACAATTACAAAACAGTGTGTGTTAGTGCCTGGGGGAGGGATAGAGGGGGCAATATGAGACTAGGGAAGAGATAATTCACCTTGGCTTGGGTAGGATGAGGGGCAGTCAGGAGAAGCTTTGAGTGGGATGTTGAGTTAACTTGGGTTAAAAGTAATGGATGCAACAATATTATAGACAGAGGAATGGGTGCAGAATTGGCAAGGGGTGAGGGCAGAGGAGGGTGAAAGAGAGGTTTAGTGAGATTGAAGGTTAAGTGAGCTATTTTCATAGAGCCTGCAACAATCGACAGAGTAGCACCCACCTTCCAAGAGGCCTCCCAAAGGCCCAGCCCTGGTCATAGTGCAGTCTGGGGCTGGCGGAGGACCACAGGGACTCCGCAGTGGCCAAGGAAGCCAGAGTAAAAGGCTAAGGTTAGACACATCCTCCCCACACCCAGCCAGCTGACCCGACGGCTGGCTCTTCTCCTCTGCCCCGTGGCTTCTTGTAAATCCTTTCTCTCCTCTGACCCCCCTTTGCTCTTGTCCTCGTTCTCCCCACCACGCAGCTCTTATTTCTCTGCCCCTCTACTTCTCTCTCCCTTCAGTAACGCACACCAGCTAGGAACCATTTAACTTATTTTAAAAAAATTTATATTCCTGAGTTCCTTTTATGGGGAAAAAACATAAAAAGATGAGTTTAGCTACACATTTTCCAAAAAAAAGAAAGGAGGCGGCAGCATTTTTCTTGAATATGGCTCTGCACTGATCTTTTTAAAATGTTGATTGAGGTTGAAAGAAGAGAAAAAACAAAAAACGCAAAAGAAAAAGCGTTTCCTTGCCTCTCAGGTGGCTATGCTCTGTGGTTTGTCCCCTGACTTTAACAACAAGCAGCCAACGTGCGCTTAAGCACAGTGACAAGTTACAAATCGCCTCTTTACCGCTCTTACAACTGATGCCTATTTTAGTATCTTTCATAATCCCAATGTCACTTAAAATACATGTCCTCTTAACATATGGGTCAGTATTACTGTTTTAATGTATGAAGTTTAATGTACTAGAATAGTATTTTCATAACTGAATCCTGCATGAAGCTGCCTATTTTCTACAGATGTGCTAAAGCACATTTAATATAGGAAGCAGAGGCATCTGGTAAAAAGAGCATAGCTTTAGGCCTTGGACAGATTTGCAGACAAATCCCATCTCTCCCACTGACTGCCAGTTTTGCCACTTTGAGCAGGTTTCTTGACCTCTGCAAGCTTCTGATTTTCTGAAATGAGGGTAATTCCTTTCTTGAGGTTTCCTTGAGAGCCCCTGACCCAGTCTGCTTGGCAGCCTTCTTTCCTCTCTCTCCTCCAAGACGAACTACTGAGTGCCAATCAGTGCTGACTAGAGAGCAAGCTTGCTGTGAAGTTTTAATGAGATATATGAAGTACTGCTCCCAGAGCTTGGCACATAAGCAGCACCCAAAAAGGGTCAGTTATTTTATTCTTATTGCCCATATGGTTTATCAAATACTTTACTCAGCAAACACCTTTATAGCATCTGAAAAACGGGCAATGCTTCCTTGTTATGGTGTAGTATGTTCCATAAGCTTGATACTGTTTTCCTTTATTGCTAATTAACTATAGATTCTTAGAAGTTAAAAATAGATTGGCATAAACCAGTTAGTTTTCACTTGTAGAAGGCACCACATTAGCAATTTAAAAAATAAATTCTGGGTTGATTTCTAAACTATGGAGGTAAAAATCCTTGTTAAACTACAGAAGGGTGGAGCTGATAAATTTTTAAATCATTGCTTTTTAATGTAACAGCTCACTCTTTAAAATTTTAATGTGTATTGCAAAGACAATATAAAAAATGGCATACATCAGTCTGAAATGATAAAAATGTCATTATGACCTTCATGGATTTTTGTCTAGCCTAAGTAATCCCAGTAAACCCTACAGATTGAAGAATGCATCTTCAATCATTTCACTGCTTTTGCCCTTGATTGTTTTTTTTTTTTAACATTTCTCACTAATACATCTTTTCTTTCTTTCTTAAAAGAGTGACATTAAAATGGGAAGGCTTTAAATGAAAGTTAGTGACTTGTCAAGGGGACTGGCTTAGAGCCTGATACTGTAGATTTTACTTATTTTAATTATATCGAATATGTCTAGTGTGTGCTTTGCTGTTCTAAAGGAGTCAGCATCTCTATTTTGAAAGATTTACAGTTTTGTTTTAAGAAACCCCTTGTGGTAATTTTTGTCATGCAGATTTCTGTTTGAAAGAACACTTGCAAGATACTAAAATTAAAGTAGTTCTATTTCTGGCCAATATATCTGAGATTAATGTGGGAAGAAAGAAAGAGCCATGCAATGAGAATACAAGGGAAGAAGAAGTCTGAGGGCCTGCCTACGTCAGTTTCTGTCTGTGTGCCTTGGATAAATCCGATCTCTGATTTTCTTGTCCTTCGAGGGGAACACTACTACATCTGACCCCGCAATAGGAATGAGGTTTACTTAGTATCGTATTAAAAAAGCGAGGGAACTGTGAACAGCTGTAGACTGCCTTCAACTTAGACACTGGTACTAATGCGAAAGTCTGCAAGACCATAGCAACAAGACATTATTTATTTTCTGGAAAGGGCTCTATTAAGGAGACTGAGTCATTCAGATTCTAAATATTAAGTTAGGCAATTAGAGATGTGAAGAGAATGAGAAAGGGGAAGTGTTGGAGGCGGGTAACGTGGCAAATGAGTGCACTAAAGGTTGAAAGCTGAGGAGACGGTAAGAGGGTACCTACAAACCAAATCTCACCTGCATCACACTTTTGCCAGAGGCCAATCCCCTAGTTTGGGAAAGAGAAGAAATCGGTACTCTCCCTCTCTTTACTGCCCAGGCATGGTTGTCTTCCCCAAAGCAATCCAAATGATCTACCTTTCCAACCCAGCACAAGTCATCATCTGTTGAGGCAGATGATCTGACTATTTTCCCCTTAATTCACACTCAGTTATGTTGGCAGATATCCCATCAATATTATCTCTTCCAAAAGAGGAGTCTAGATATCCAAAACAGAACGGAAGAGAGAAATTCAGGCAGCTGTGGTGAAAGAGTTTCTAATTTTGAGGAGGGGGCCACTATGCGTAGGGCAAGCCAGAATTGCCGGAGGGCTGCCTTCTGTTCTTTCTGAAATGTATGTAGCTGACACTCACATGCTGCTCCAAACACATTAGTTCTCCCAGATCTGTTATTTTCCCCAATTTGGCTTTGACCTGGGGATGGGTGGTAGTAGGAAGGAGGAGGTTTAACTAACCTCCAGGGCAAGTGTGACCTGCCCTTAGTAGTCACAGGAGGCCTTGTTTTCCAGAGCTGCCTTGCTTTTACAGACACTTGACAAACTACTCAGCATAAAAAGATCATTTGTAAAAAACTCTTACTACTATTACTACTACTAATACTAAAAATAGTGGGATCACAGGTGAGGCAGAAACCTTTACAGGAGAAAAAAGCCTTTCAATTGCCAGCAGTTTATAGTGAAGATAATAGGAAGTCATTAACGAGTTCTAGTAATTTATTGGTGTAGATTGTATATTCTATGTGTTTATGAAACGTAACACTAGATAGGCCATATTCCCTCACCTTCAAGATCATGATCACAAGAAACAGAGATGAATGTGTTTAACAGCCTGTGTCCTACAGAAGTCATGCTCTTAATTTAGGGAGATCACCCAATTAACCCTTAATTTACACAAATACTATATATCATTTTGGGGAATAGCCAGGACTGTGATGGATCCTAATAGCAAATATTCCAGAGTGATCAATTGTTTGGGCTAAATCTCTGCAGATGTACAGCAGTCCTCTTTATCCGTGGTTTTGGTTTTCAGGGTTTCACTTACCCTTGGTCAATCCCAACACTGAAGCAGATGATCCTCCTTCTGACCTATCGTCAGAAGGTCAATAGTAGCCTAACGCTACATCACAATGCCTACGTCATTCATCTCACTTCATCTCATCACGTAGGCATTTTATCATCTCATTCATCACAAGAAGGAGGGTGATTAAAGTAAAATAAGATATTTTGAGGGAGAGACTACATTTACATAACTTTTTTAATGTTGTTATAATTGTTCTATTATTAGTTATTGTTGTTAATCTCTAACTGTGCCTAATTTATAAATTAAACTTTATCATAGGTATGTCTGTGTAGGCAAAAATACAGTATATATAGGGCTCAGTACTATCCACGCTTTCAGGTATCCACTGTGGGTCTTGGAACGTATCCCCTCCAGATAAGGGGGGATTACTGTAGCTTTTATTTGAGGCAAGAACAGGAAGTTGGGTGAAGGAAGATCAAGAAGATGCTACTCCTGATCTGATGAGGAACAGCTCTCATGGCGTGGTGGCAAGCTAGGGGTCGGGTGAGAGACAGTTAGCTAGAACTTCCTTGCGGCAGGGCCTGGGCAGAGACTCCAAAACACACACGTCTAATATCCAACTATTGTCTTTCTGTGTAAGTCTCTTCTATATCCTCAAATCTTAAATAAAGTTTGCAAATCAATAGAAATTAGGGTCAGCTTGATCTTAGCTAGGCCTGTGGGAAAAAGAGCAGGAGCTGTGAACACATTTGAGGACAAAGTGGAGTGCAGAGATTTGCAGCAGCTAGAGATGTTCAAGAAGCTTCCAGGAACTGCCCAAGTAGGATATGGGTGCCATCACAGGCCCTCTGAATACTCAAGATGAGGTCAAATTTCTAGAAGTCATGTGGCATGGTAATTCCTATGATTCTATTGGGAGAGGAAAATTAACAGTGACCCTAGAAGCCTGGAAAACTTGATATTCCTTAAGTTAAAAATAACAATTTACAAATTTCCACCATTACCATAAACCAGATATTATGCTATACAGGCCTTATTTAATTTTCACAATAATTCAATGAAATGGTTATAATCATTATCATTTAATCATTATAATCATTTTGAAGATGAGAGAACAAAAGTTCTAAGAGATTCAGTATTTTGCCCAAGGTCACACAATGATTAAGAAGCAAATCTAATTCATACCCAGATCTGCCTAAAGACTTAACCATTAGGATGTATTAACTTTAGCGGTACAAACAATCTATAAAACTTTGCACTTTTCTTATGAGAGAAAATGAAACACTAAGCCTTCTCAAGACAGCTCCAAAACTTAGCCATGAGTAGTTCAATCCTCAATTCTTTTAATTCACAACTTCTATCCTAAATTATAAGACAAAGGTCATGTATCAAATTTCCCCAGTAGATGGGGGTCTGTGCACGCAAAGCGTGACCAGGGCCCAGGACACAGGGTTGAGTTGCTCAGTTTCCCTCTCAGGTGTCATTAGTTACCCGCCATTAAATGTTGCTATTTCCCACAATAAAAGGAACTCATGATATCTCCGGTATGAAGGACGTCAATCAGCAGCCAACGCTATTTCCACAATTCCCGTGTAGACTGACTGACTGATGTGTACATTTATGTAACTGTAGTTAATGCCTTTATTTCATTGATCATGAACAGTTTCAAGCAGTCATTCTTTACTAGGAATAACTTGAACAAGACATATTTCTAAGGCAAAAATGTTTCCTAAAAATACTTTTCTTCTATTACCTCACTTATTATTAGACAGCACTACAAATGTGTTGTTTAAATGTTACAAAGATATTGAGAGGTTAGTGAGCTTGTCCCAAGCCACATGGTGGTAAATATTAAAGTCTCTTTATTTGATGAGCAAAGGATAGGTTTAAAGCCTATGATAAATTAACAAAGCCTTTGGTGGGGGTGAGATAAGAGGGAGAAGAAATGGGTGAGAGAAAAGGAGGGAGGGAGGGAGAAAGGGAGGGTGCGAGAGAAAATATGGGAGAATTTTAAAATAATGGGTTGTTTCCCTTTTCTGCTATGCTTTTAATAAAAGTAGATTCAAAATTCTTGCTTTTCTAGATGCTGATAATGACCTTTGTATTTCTTTTATAACTTTTTATGTTTATCAATTTTATTTTTTGCCAATTAACCATTTCTAAAGTTTGAAATCTTGCTTTGATTTCCTTTTTGCCATACCCAGAGTGCCTAGATGAAATGTAAAAAATATTACTTATTAGAGAAAAAAGCTAATTTAAAAAGTCAATGATAAGAATTATAATTACTTTTCACTAAAGATGTAATTATACATAGATAACTTCCAATTACAGAAATAGTGGAGAGATGGCAAGAAAAAAAAATAACTCAATGCACCCAACAATTATTTTCCCAATGACTGTAGATTCTCAGGTCCTTTGAGACTGTGTGAACCAGAACTTTCTTGGATTCACAGCTAATTCTGTAAGCATTTTTATATGCACCATCTAAAATGAAAGTGCAATAGAGAGTCACAAATGCTAGGTTCAAAATTCTCATTGTATCAGCCACTTCCCTCCAGTGGGTATCTTTAGACTTTAGGCTGTACCTCTCCTGGTCACAGGAAATATTTGTTAGTCCCTGATCACCATATCCTTAGCTGCAAAGATGAACATGGACTAAACTTTAATGGGTCACTGTTGGAGAATTAAATATTTAATTGTGATGATTTATAAAAGACACTAATGTTCTAGTAATTTATTGCTATAGATTGCATATTCTACCTATTTATGAAATGCAGTACTAGATAGGCTATATTCTCTCCCCTTCAAAATCATGCTCTCAAGGAATAGAGATAAATGTGTTCATAAAGCTACATACATATATCTGTATATAAAGTGGCCTATGTCTTACAGAACTCATTTTTTGTGTGTATGTAATTTTATTTGAGCAGACTAAAATTTACACAGTGGACAATATGCACTTGATGGGTGATTTCAAATTACATGACCAAAACATATTTTCATCATTTTGTTATATAAAGTACACTCAAGTTATTGGCAGGTGTTTAATTTCCAAATCAATAAGCTTCTTTCTCAGGCTTTTAAGTCTGATGACTGTCTATTAAGCCTGAGAAATTCATACTTTCAACAAATGGGGCACTGACCTAGCAAGTTTATATAGGGGTGTGTTTTCCTCTCTTTTTTTCCAGTCAAATGACTTTTTTTTTTTAAATTACAGGTACTGTTTAACTTAACAACCTGGATCTGACTATGTAGGTCAAGTATTGACCCCAACCTACTGCAGGTGAGAAAGCAATTCAGTCATAGGATCAAGGTAGATTGATGGCTACTATCACCAGGTCAAACAATATTAATCCACCATCAAATTAAAGGAGCACCGAAAATGATGACTGTTATTTTTTGAAAAAATCAATCACAGTCCAAATGATGGCATCTATCTTGAAATACATTTCTTCTACTCCCCCAAAAGTTGATATATTTTAAAAGGTCTTAGCAGTGAAGGTGAGAGAGAATCACAGCCTGAGGGACCCTCAGAGATACTCTTCAAATATTTCAAAGGGTATAAAACAAGGAAGAAAATGCATTCTTGAAGTTCTGGCCTTTGAAATTGTTATATTTGTAGAAAATCATTATCCTTTCATAGTCAATTTGGGATGTAAGCATTTAACTCGACTTGAATAATTTTCTGATCACATTCAGCCACTAGCATCAGCTCTTATGGTAAGCCATCTTTAAAATTAGGGCATTCCTGAGGATGATGAATTAATAAAAATTAACGTGTTTGTGTGAGGTATTTTAGGAATTGCTTTTTTAAACGTTGACTATGAAAATTTTCAAACATATTTATAGAGACTAGTTAGAAGAATCCCTATGTACACGTCACCCAACTTCAACCACCATCAATTTTCTGCTCTTCTGCTTCATATATCCCTCCATTCACCACTCCCTCCCCCACCTCCAATACACAGACACAGACACACACACACACACACACACACACACACACACCTTTTCTTTGCTTCTTGCTGAAGTACATAATGCAAGTCTCAAGCATCTTATTATTTTACCTGAAAATACTCTTGGGTGTATCTCTAAAAGACAAAAATTAAACCAAAATATATATATATATATTTTTTTGAGGAAGATTAGCCCTGAGCTAACTACTGCCAGTCCTCCTCTTTTTGCTGAGGAAGACTGGCCCTGAGCTAACATCCGTGCCCATCTTCCTCTACTTTATATGTGGGGCACCTACCACAGCATGGCGTGCCAAGCAGTGCCATGTCCCACCCGGGATCTGAACCAGCGAACCCCGGGCCAGTGAGCTTAACCACTGCACCAGCCCCAAACCAAAATATATTTTCATACCCAACGAAATGAACAGAAATCCAAAACTATCATCTAATATCCAAAAAGTTTTGAATTCTCTCCAAATGTTTTTCCAGATAGTTTGTCTGAATGGATTTTGTTAGTTTCCAATGGAATGATACTATTGTTGTTGCGGAATGACATTATATATAATTCAAAATCAGCTTCAGTGTGAATAATATTCTCTAAACATATAAACGTTAATTTCCTAATTAACTTTATCCTCATAAATTCCTGATAAGTGGAAACTAACAACAACAGAAAAATCAAACTTCGTGTATGATAAACCAACATAATAGTGATCCCTCAAGTTCAAGTCAATAATAAAAATCACAAAAAATCATCATAAGGCACAAAAAGTTATTATGTAAAGAAACATTCCTTTAGACTTGAATATATAAAACAGTTTGAGGTTAACAAAAACTAAATTAAAGATGAAGAATTGAAATTGAACGGAAGCTTTTGTGTTTCCCAGCTATTTTGGACAAGTTCGAACCTACATTTCTTCACAGTCTTCTTATACGAAGAACGGCGCTAAGTGCTGCTGCATACAAATTTGTGAGGATCAAGTGAAAATATGCTAGAAATCAGCCAGCACACAATGTAAGCAGCGATAAAATGTTGACTCAATATGTTCTGTCTAAATTTGGCCTCAGCTGTAGTCAAAATTCTTTGATTCTCCCGCTCCAGGGGGCTTCAAATCCTTTCATTCTATCAACTTTTCAGAGTCTCTAATCCACTATTTCTCCTCACTTCCCATCTTCCCAGTTAAGAAGCCATAGTCAAGCATCATCTCTCCTTTGCACATAGCGGTCTGTTTCTTGCCCTTCTCCAACTTTGATACAAAGTTTGACAAAATCACATTCTGACAAAATTCAACATTTCGCCTCCTCCATGTCTGCACCCATGAAGCTGAAAGTGCCTTAAAAAAAAAGCTCATGTTGTTCCTAGTTGGTTTCACTTTAAGTTCATATCTAGGAATTTCAAAGTGAGTCCTTCATGCCACCAGGCAAATATCAGATAACTTAGCTCATTCACTCTCTTTCTCTCAGTTATGATTATTTTCCACCTTCCTTCCTTAAACTGCTATCATCTTCTCCTCTATCCTCACTTTCCACTGGTGACTGTGCCCAATATTTCACAACCAACTTAGAGCAATGCAAAGAAGACTTCCACCGACTGCCACCACCACATCCACCTGCACTTGCAATCTGTACCCTCTTACTCTACATTCTTTTATTGTGTCTCTTAGCTCCAATCTCTTAACATTGGAGAACTCCAGGACTCAGTCTTTGGAACTCTATCTACATTTACGTTCTTGGTGATCTCATCCATTTTCTCCATTTTAAAAAGCATCAATATGCTATCCCCTAGATTTACAGCTCCAGCTCAGACCTCTTTTCAAATTTCACCATTGTCTGCCCGTAGACTCTAATCTGTCAATACCAAAGCTGAACTTCTGGTCTTACTCCAAAACCTGTTCTACTAATAGCCATTTCTATCTCAACAGATGGAAAGGTCATCCTTTCAGATATTCAAGCCATACTTCTCTTATCTTTCTCTCTCACACACTACATACAGTTCACCAAAAGATTTCATTACTCCTAACTTCAAAATATATGCAGAATTCAACAACTTCTTCCCAGATCTGTTTGAGGTCTACTTTGCTCTGAATCACCATATTCTCTTGCCTGGACACTCTATAGCCTCTTTTTTCCCCCACCATTTCTCCCTTCACCCACCTACCAGCAATCTCTTACTTTTAAAATTTAAATCATTTCACTGTTCAGTCCACTCTTGTCAGAAAGTCCCAAATTCTCTCAGATTGGAAGTCAAATCATCTTCAGGGGTATCTAGGATCTCGCCCAATCACATTTACACACACATGTGCTGTGATCCTGCCTCGTCGTGCTTTTTGAGCCACACTGGCCTCCTTGCTTTTCCTTTGACATGCCAAGCACACTAGGGCCTTTGCTCTAGCTGTTTCTCTCCCAGGGATGCTCTTCTCCCAGATTATTTGCTTGGCTAAGTGCCTCACCCCTCCTGGGTTTTTTTGTTTGTTTGTTTTGTTTTGTTTTGTTTTTGTGGCCATGAAAAAGCTCTGCACCTAAGCAGCAAGCAATCCTGTCCTCGTTTATTACCCTCTTCAGGTTGGCAAATACCCTCTGCTTGTCTCGGATGAACAAAGAGTTATCCAGGCAAAGTTGCCACTTATATTGGTTTCCTCTCCAGTTTGTCATTGTGGATATGGAGTTTTGATGGCAAGCATAATAATAGCCTCTGTTTATTGGGTGCCTACTGCCCATGGGCCAGGCACTTTGCATAATTATCCCTGATCTTCATAGAATCTCGATATGCTAGCTTTACTTTTCTTTTCTTTTCTTTTTTTTTTTTTTTTTTTTTTGATAAAGAGAGCTATAGGAAGAGAGAGACATATAAAGAGAAAATCAGAAGTTAATATTACATGATATGAATAGGGATTATCCCTTAGCTAAGAGGTTATACGTGATATTTTTCTTTCACTTTTTTCTGTATTTCCCAGTTACTATATATTCCAAAATTGTTTTTATAGTTAGAAAAAATTGAATTGAATTTTTTAAAGTCTTAGAATTAACTGTTTAAACCAGGTTAAGAAGTCTAATCATGGGCAAAACAACATATTCTATGTTCTAGAAGTTTCAACTGTATTGATTAAACACAGAGCTTTGGCATACCTGCTACCACCAGACCTCTATAGTTCTCTTACGTTTTCTTCAAAGCTTCTGTGCATTTACCCAAATATCCAGCTATTTATGCTCTGTGTGACAGCAGGAGGTAATAAGTACCAGGATTTGCTCAGGAAGGGAAGGTGGCAAGGGGAGGTCTGGAGAGTCAGAACCCAGCCATAGTTGGTCACTGACTTGTTGGGCAAGTCACTGAACCCTGTCATGCCCCCTTTGTGTCATTTCAGGGAGTTAGACTAGGTGACTTCCAATTCGCTTTCAGCTCTAAAGTCCATAAAATAATTTCCTCTTTCTTAGCCCTGTCCCTGCTATCCTTGGAGGTCACCACTGAATAAATTGATTTGGAACATGGTAAACTTCAGTTGTTCCCGAGTGAAACAATGACTGTCCAGTAGCTTTACAGGACAAGAGAGCCCCATCACAAACACCTTGGCCATTAACCAGTCTTTCTCTCACCTCATCCCCTGGCTTCTGAGCCTAAACAATATGATCTGCTTAGAGTTCCACTCTCCCCACAAGGTATGATTTTTTTAAATTATAATTTATTCAATTTATTTAAACTAGAAACAACCTCACAACAAGTTCACCCATTTCTTCCACCCCAACACACTGCCTCTGGTAACCACCAATCTGTTCTCTGTACCTAGGAGCTTGTTTAGTTTTTGTTTTTAGATTCCACATATAATAGAGATCATAAGTTATTTGTCTTTTTTTTTATGGCTGAATAATCCTCCATCATATGCCACAATTTCTTTATCCATTCATCTGTCAATGGACACTTAGGTTGTTTCCATATCTTGGTTATTGTAAATAATGCTGCAATGAGCATGAGGGTGCACATATCTTTTTGAGTTAGTGATTTCATTTCCTTCAAGTATATATTCAGAAGTAGAATTGTTGGATCATATAGTAGTTCTGTGTTTAATTTTGGAGGTAACCTCCATGCGGTTTTCCTTAGTGGCTGAACCAATTTACATTCCCACCAACAGTACACTAGTGTCCCCTTTTCTCCACATCCTCGCCAACAAGCCTTCTGTTCATTGCTCAAATCTCACTTTCTCAAAGAGGCCTACCCTCACCTATTTTATATTCTAATTTGCCCTCCAACCTCTCCTGCTCCTTTGGCACTCTCAAATACTCTTTCTGTGCTCTATATTTTATTTTTTCCGTAGCACAGTCATAGTGTATTATCATATTCCCATTTCCACAATACATTCAAAAGAAGAGACATCTTCACCTGTTTTTCAATCTATTACATTCCCAGTAGAACAGAACCTGGCACAAAGTAAGAGATAATGAATATATTTGAATACATTTTCAAATGTTAGTCTACTTGCCTTTTCATTAGTGATCTATTGAGTAATTGAATTTTCTAAACTAATATTTACTGAAGTAAACATATAGCATATTAAGACTTGACAATACCAATATTGGTTTTAATGGTTGATATTGCCCTTTAATGGTTGGCAGAAATTCTCAGTTTCTACACGATAGGAAAAAAAAGACAACTTTAGATTTGTAAGTAAATAGTCCATTACTTTAGGTATTAAAAGAAGATATCAATTAAAAGAACTACCATGTTTGCTATCTTAAGAGGTTTCCCTGTTTTATTTTGAGATATTAAGTAGTTTAAGAAAAACAAACAAAATTACATCTTATAGCTCTTATAGACACAGTAAGAAATCAGCACAGAAGGCTCAAGCTGATAAATTAATGCACTCTTGGGCGGGACTTTTGACAGTTAATAATCTTTAATTAATTTAGTCATTGTTTGCCCTTCAAGATAAAAATGGATATCTATTCATTCTTAGGCCATTATTCTATTTAACACAATGAACTTAAGTTGAAACTCTTTTGAGTGGCAAACTTTATTATAATTATATCCATTTTAAATTAATAACATCTCACACAAGGAGACTTGGAGATATGTGGAAGCCCCAATCAATGAAAAATTATGGCCTCATCACTCCTCCAATCTTATATTTAATTCAAAATAGAAACCTATTAAGTTTAGATTAAGTATGAGGAATTCAAAATATTTATTTTCCCCATGTTAACTACTTTGATGTTTTTAAATTATTTTTTAAAAAAATACTTTCACATATCACAAGATTCTAGTGCTGAATTGAAGTTCCCTCAAAAACCTGTAATGGAACCCCCTGGATTTCAATCTTGTTCGTCTGCTGTTATACAATCAGCCTACCTCTCAGATGACAACAGTTTTATACACATTTCTCAACAGGTTATTGACTTTCACTGGAGAACCACACAAGGCTCTTCTATTCCAATTTCTTTTGGGCACATCCAGTCTCTCCCCCTACCTAGACTGAGGTCAGATAAGACTTGTTCACACCAGCATGTTCAATGGATTAGCTCATCAAATACTTCTGCTCTGCACACCAATCCCCCTTCTTTGGGAAACACAATGCTTTACACGGGAAAATCAATGCTCTCCAAAACCAAAGTTGCCAAACATGCTACTCACCTTGAGTAAATTTACTTTCAGCAATGAGTCTCTTTTCTCATTTGTGACCAGCACCTTCCTTCTGAAGCTGGGGAAAACACCTTTCTTACAAGTGCTTTCAAGACACTGTATTTGTAACACCTGGAGATTCTAATCAATTAGAGACACACTGAAAGCACTGCACATCAGGTATATTTTATAACTTTATGAGCTGTGCCATGCTGTGATAAAACGTGTATTTTTTTGAGCTGAGGGGAGCAAAACTGAGGGCTAATGGGGAGAAAAAAGACAGAAAGGAGACAAAAGCATTGTTTTCTATGGTTCCACTCTCCTGATGGTAAGTAATAGAGAAAGGAACCTCAAAAGCTGCAATTTTTCCCCCACCCCATGGAATGGAAACTAGTGGAACATTCAGCTTCATTTCAACCTGATGTTCCAGAGGATTTTAGGAAAAGGTATAATGCACATTCTTGTTTAAAGAATTTTTAAAGGCATGAAATATAATCTCTGAATTAACTTCAAAGAAACTGAATCCTGATACAGATAAGAGGTGCTTAGCTTCAGCAGTCAAGTGGCCCTTTGAAGACCTTCAATTGTATTTCATGTGCTGTACCCACCTCTTTCCTACTTGGGGAAATAGAAAAGGGGACAAAGACATGACGAATTTTTTTTTACCTGCATTATGTATAAGAACTAAGAGGAGGGCTAAGATATTCATGAGGATAATAAACTATTGTTTGTGGTTGGCAAATTTACTCAAATATAAAAGGACTCAATGCCAGAAAAGAGTGACTATGGGTGTATATTATCAAACATTTT